GGGGGGGGGGTTTGGAATCTGAGATTATTTTTGCTCATGAAGCTCCAGACCACACACATCACAGAAAAAATGAAACTCACATCGAGACCAAGAGCAACCCCACATCTCCCAGATGGGTCTCGAAAATATTGGACACAAAGAAGAACGTTTTGCAAATTTGATCAGGGAAATTAGGGGAATTAACACATGTCCACGGCACACTCGGGCGATGGGAGAGGGAAGGGACAGGGCTGGCTCATGGGACAATGGCCCACTGGGGTGCCAGCAGCAGCTGATACATGGGCAGGAAATCAGTGGGCAACCTGGCTGCTGGGAATTGCTGTAAATACAGGGAATTGCCATCAACACGTGTGCTGAGGCCAGAATGGCCTCAACTGGAAAAGCCCTTTAAGCTCATCGAGTCCAACCATGAACCCAACACTGACCAGTCCCCTATGACTAACCCATGTCCCTCAGCACTGTGTCTACACGACTCTTCAATCCCTCCAGGGATGGGGACTCCACCACTGCCCTGGGCAACCCCTTCCAATGCCTCAGAACCCTTTCAGCAAAGAAATTCTTCCTCACATCCCATCTCAACTGCCCTGGGCACAACTGGAGCCCATTTCCTCTTGTCCTGTTCCTTGTTCCTTGGTTGAACAGACCCACCCCCACCTCTCTCCACCCTCCTCCAAGGGACTTGGACAGAGCCAGAAGGTCTCCCCTCAGCCTCCTTTTCTCCAGTTCCCTCAGTCGTGATGACCAGACACGTCAGGCAACAGAAGTGCCTGAAAACAGCAGCACGTCCCTGCCAACACCAGCCAAAATCTACCCTGGGCAGCGCGTGACCAGGCAAACCCTGGTGGCCTTTTCTCGGTGAGTGTCCTGGAATCACTCTGGTTTGGGCCAAGGAAAGAGCAGGAAAGCTGAGCCAGTGGCCACGGCTTTCAGCAGAGCTCTGGGCTTGGTGGCTGTGGGGACATTGGTGCTGGGAGCCCAGGCGGGATCCTCATGTGATGGGGAGATGCTTCCAACCAGAGATCACGAGGGGGAGAATGGCAGCGGGGAAGACTTGAGGGAGCATTTCTGATCCAAGCATCTTCCTGCGGCAGAGAAAACAGCAGCAGGTTCATCCCCTGAGCAACAGCTGAGGGGAAGGTGCTGCCAGAGCTCTAGAAATGACCATCCTGCCCGTGCCAGGCACTGTGCTGGGGCTGGAGCCATCCCTCCAGCCATCAATGAGGCCGTGACCACCATCAGCTGCATCCCACCCCTGGGAAAGAACGTGGGAATTTTTTTCTCCACTGGTGACTTTCCCATCGCCCAGTGATGCAGTTTTCCACCATGATTCAGCCCGAGTAGCTCAAAGGTGACATTTTTCTGTTAATTTAGCATTTTCTGTTCACTGACTCCAGTTTAAGGGCTTTCCATCATCATCTGTCTACAGGACAGGACCACCACCTCCATCCCCTTCACCAGCATCACTGTCAGGCAGAGACCCTTCCACCACCAACCCTCCCAGAGCAGTGGGACATCTCTGGGCATCCCAACAAGGAGCTTGGCCCCATGGCCACCAACCACAGAGGGTCATCGCTGCCACCACGACGTGGTGCCACAGTTGGAGCACGTTGGCTTATCTGCTCCCCATCGAGAGCGGAGCAGGTAGGAAACGGCAAATCCCTCCCGAAGGTCTTTCTGAGTCAGTGGCACCAACATCATCTGGGGCATTTCGTAATTAGACAAACAAAATTACTCTCAGTCTGGTTGCTCCCGGATTAATCGAGTGCTCGCAAACTCTTATCAAGCATCTGCTGGCGAGTTGCTATTTGAGTTAGAAAAATACCTCTTAGTTATTACAAAACTCCGAAGTTTCCCGGCTCAGCGAATTTCTCAGCGCGATTTCCTGCGGCAGCGCCGGGCGGTGACGCCGGCAGAGCCCAGAGCCTGAACCTCACTCAGGCTTTGCCCTGAGCAGGGTGGGATGGACCAGGGAAGCCTCCAGTTCTCCAAGACACCAAGTGCTGGAGCAGAGTCACTAAGCCTCATTTCCCCACCCCAGTGCCCAAGCGATGCTGTGGGACCACCCTGTCCCTCGTCCATGTCCCCGCAGGGTGCCCCAGGCAGGGTGATCCTGCTTCAAGGTCCCCTTGACCACCATTGTTTTGGGTTCCCATTGTTTTAGGGTCCCGTTTGGACCAGAGGATCCCAGCTCCCCATAACCCCCCCAGCCCCGGTGATGCCCCAGTGCCACCCCGGAGGGCCCCAGGCAGGGCTCGGCCGCGCTTTCCGCTCCTCCCCGGGCGCAGGTGAAGATAAGCGCAGCTAGAAGATGGTATGCAGATGAAGGATGCTTTGCATGATTTGGAGATATTCAAATGACACGTGAGATGGAAGAGGTTGGAGGATAGTTAGAGAAAAACAAAGCAAAGCTGCATTCTGGGAGCACGGACAGATCCGTGGTCTCACCCGTTCGGCTACTCGGAATTCACGGTGTGGAGAAAGTCTTGGGGTTCGGAGAACTGGAGAATCTCCCAGGGGGGCAGCTCACACCCTTTTCTTTTCTATGTGACCTGACTCCTACCACCGTTATCTTACGGTGGAAATTTCCTACATCGAAACGTAATGTGCAAGATCAGAAGAAAATCTTGACTCTTACACGAGCGACCTGTTGTCCTGAGGGGACAGGAGCAAATTTGGAAAGTGCAGATAAGGGAAAAATAAGGTGTTTTTTTTCTTTTTCCTACAGGTTCAGCAATTTCACAGCCATAAATTGAGATGTTGCTTCCAGAAAAGCACACACAGGTAGAGATCACTACAATATCCACAAACTCTCAGCTGAGGAGGTTCAGTCCAACCAGGCCATGAGCATCCCAGTGTCGGTCCTGCTCACCTTCCTGGCGCTGTCCACCTGCCAGGGCCACAGCGTCACCCTGCTGCAGAGCTCCACCTTCCTGAAGGAGAGCATCACGCTGCTGAGCAAGCTCCTGGAGACCAAGGTAGGGCTCGTTACCCGCTGATGGGAGGGACCGATGGGTTTGCTGGGCTCTGGCGAGAGCGATGCTGAGTCAGAGAAAGGTGCTGAGCGTGCGGCTCGCCGCGCTCCCAGGGGACAGACAGACAGATGGACGGGTGTGTGTCTGCGTGTTGGGGATGGAGCCACGTTAGTGGTTTCTCCAGCCTGATTGTTCCTCTCCTTTGTGTCTTGATTCAGGTTTCCTGCAACAATATGAACGTGACCAATATCTTTGCGGGTGGTGAGGTAAGAAAAACCAAACTCATCCTTGTTTGAAAACAACCCCACAGCCACCAGCTGGGTCCAGGGAGAGGCTGCTGGGGGCTGGAGGGCAGCACGGGGCAGGTGTGGTGCCCTGGGAGCTCTGCCCATCCCACTGTGGCACCAGAGCCCATCATGAGCCCCAGGCAGTGACACTGGGCTGCGCCCAGTGCCCAGCACAGGTGTCCTCGCCTCCCACACCCACCTCCCACCAAAGCAGCATCAGCCACCCCAGCGCGATGGGGAGGGCAGGGGGTGGGGGGGAATGGGCAGCACGGGGCTGAGCAGCAGCCAAGGGGGTTTGAAGCTTTTCAGAAAGGAAGAGAGGAACTTCTTCCCTTCCCTGGAGCGGTGTGTCACCATCTCACAGACACCCACGCACTCCTATCGCGCAGCATCTCCAGCTCTGGTGTGACACACTGGCCCTCTGCTCTGGGGAAGGCTCTTCACTCGGCAGGAGATTCAATAGCAGATACTGAAGCTATTTCTGCTCTGAAAGTCGCTGCCTGAGCCCAGCTCCCCGGCCCCGGAGTTCATGTTTTCACAGAAAGCCGACGGCCTCACCTTGTGCCACACGGGTGGGCGGCAGCCTCCCATGGGGGGCTGAGCACCCCATCAGGGGGTCCCCACACCCCTCCTGCCACAGGGACCAGCCCTGGGAGGGAGAAGAGACACCCGAGATGCTGCAGGACCCGACACCCGCAGAGCCAGTCGTAGTCACGGGGATGGACTGGTCACTTATGTGCTGGTGCCACGTGGGTGAAGGCCAAGGACCCCCGAGCTGGCAGAGCTCTCAGCGATCTCCCCCACCCAGGGAATGTCCCCCAGGGAGGACAATGAATAGTTTTCTTATTACCACCAGCACTTCACTTACGAGCTCACCCTCCACATGTCGCTGCTGCAGGGTTTCATCTCCTCAAAGCACCTGATGGAGGCAACTTCTTCCCCAGGGCTTGTTGTTAGTGGCACAGAGCCTCTGTCCACCCAAACCAGCTCCATACCTGCAGGACCCCGAGCACAGGGTCCCACCTTCACACCCAGGCCAGGACCACGATGCTCTAAGCACGTGGGTGCTCAATGCTGCACCAAACCCTGCCACGACTTCTCACTGACAGGGGCCAGGGATGGGAACAGAGCTGTGTGCACACACACGTGTGGCTGGGAAGCTCCAGAGGAAGCTCTGACATCTCCAGCTCTACTTTGCACCTGCCATTTAGAACAGAAATGTATTATTTGTGCTGGTTTCACCTGCTGCTAACGAAGCCATGGGTGTACAAAAGGGTTTCTGAAAAAGCCATGTGTGTTTTCTTCCAGAAAGATGATGACCTAGAGATCTTATGCAAAGCCACCACAGTTGTCTTGGAGGGTCAGAGCTGCCACAGGCAGCTGGAGGGCATTCACCTCAACTTGCTCCGTATCCTCCAAAGGAAGAGCACAGTCCATAAGGTAAGGGCAGGGCACAGCTCACCTGCAAACTGCTCCAGGGCCATGCAGCCCTCAAGCTTTCTGCACATCCAGCTTCTCCCTCCATCACCATTTCCTCTCCCTCACCACCATCAGCTACAGAACCAGGTCCCTCTCCCACCCACCATCCTAACAGTTGTTTGGTTTTCTTATTACAGGCCCCATGTCCCGTGGCAACAGGCAACACTACGTCCTTGACTGAATTCCTAGTGGCCTTACACAGACTCCTCCAACGATTAGTAAAATCCTAGACTTTGAAGTGAAAAGAGCTTGGGGTTTTGTTTTGGTTTGTTTTTAAACTATAATGACACTTTAAAAAAAATTATTTATAATAATTCTTTAAATAAATGTATTTTTGGACTAAATTACATTGCATTAGGTATTTCTTGGGCAGAAACTGGAGAGCACAAGAGCATGTTTGAGAGCTTGAAGGTGCCACCTGGAACAAAGAGCACTGGGCTGTGGGATGCAGCTGGCAGCACCCACAGCCCTCTCCCACCATCCCCAGTACAAACACCCAGGGGTGGCTGGGACCCCAGAGGAGACCATGGCTGGGATGTTGTCCCAAGGCCAGAAGCAATAGGGACCAGACTGATGGCAACAGAGGGAAAGTGCAGGGCAGGGAAGAAGGGATGGGCATTCCCTATCCAAGTTTGTGACTGAGTTGGAAACCAGGGCACAGACTGTGGAGAGCTGAGCAGTGGAACTGGAGCTTTAGAAATAAAGGGGTTTAAAACCATTAAGTCAGAAGTAATTCTTGTTTATTTGCCATTTAAGTTGCAAAAAAATACACAGGGCTACAGTGACCAGAGCACAGAGCCCACTGGCAGAAGGGTGGTGCTGGCACAAGTTGCCAGACCAAAGAATTGGTCCTGCTGTGGGATTTAGGGTTGTACTAACACAAGGAAAGCAGGTCTGAGCAGAGGAAAAAGCCCAAGAGAAGGCAGAGTGCAGAGGACAAACCACAAACAGCCTCTGAAAGCCATGAACTCAGATGTGCTACAGCTGAGAAGGGAGATGCCAGGTCCTCAGCTAAGCAGGTCCTTGGTTCCTCCTCTCACCTTCTAGTCTGGCACAGCCCTTTGAGGGCCAGGAGTGAAGAGGCTACAGCAACAGCAGGAAAAATAAATAGCAACAGGGAGGAAAACTGCAGCGCTGAAGGGATGAGTGGAGCCTGCAGCAGACTCATGGACAGGGGGCTGGAGTCCTGCAGGTATTTAGGTGTCTACCATTTTGCAACGTACTTTGGCACAGCGTGGGAGAGCGCTTTGGAAAGTCCCAGGAGTGCACAAGGTTTGGTTGGTGCATCAGCTGAGTCACTCAGGGGAGCTACGAAGTTTGCAGACCACAAACAATCTGTTACCTGCCGGGTGAGTGGGCTGGCACGGCGTCCAGAGGAAGAAATGCACGGCCGACCAACTCCGTTCACGCAAAGGAAACGGAGCTGAGCGCTTCCAGCTGCTGCAGGTAAATTCAGACCATCTGCACGAACAGGGGGTGTGACAGGCTCCTCGTGTCACACAAAGCCAGAGCAGCATGGAGAGTGTTCTCTCCACCAGCAGTGCCACCCATGCCGTGCACAAACTAGAAGAGGCAGAACACAGGCAGCACCGGCTCTTTCAGCGGAGAGGCTGCTGCTCTCGCAGCGCTCTGGGGCTCAGCTGGGCTCTTTTCCCCAAGGGCAGCTGAGGACAACCCCAGCAGAGGATGGGCTTCAACAAGGGGTTCATCAGCTCCTTGGGGCTCACCAGCTCCTCAGGGCTCATCTCCCAATCTCCAGACTGACCTCATCCCATTAATCTTCTCCGGAGTCTCACAGTGTCCTCTTGTTCTGCCCCATCTTCCTCTTCCACAGGAGCTTGTTGCCCACCACCCTGAAGCTCAGCAATGGGGGTCCCACACTCCCCAAACTCACTTCTCTAACTTCTCCAGTAAGTGCTGGACATCACAGAGCTACACAGACTATTTAACAACCCTCCAGACATCTTCTGACTGAACTGAGTTAGAAAGATGCTGTAACATGTCGAGTTATCCAAAAAAACATGCACAGAGGTGGAACTAGGAATTAAGGATTTTATTTCATGGTATGAACATGCTCCAGGGACAACAATATTGATATATACAATGTCATGAATAAAGTTAAACCATAAAACAAAATAATCAGAAATAAACAGAGTTAGAAAAACAATAAATAGGAAGACAAATAATAGAGACAGACTTGTGGTTTCTCCTATATACAGGACTGGCTGAGCAGAAATGCTGAGAGAGGTGAAAGCTGGACATGTGCAGACAGCAAAGTCAGTGAAAGGCACTAAGGACCATGTTCCCCTCCTCTTAAAAGAAAGGATCAGGAACAAATTAAATATGAATTAATTCATTTACACAACATTAAACAACATAAAGCATCAAAAAAAACCAACCAACCCCTCAGTGTTAAGGTTGATGTTCTGGAATGAGAGGAATCTTCTGGTAGCAAGATGGAAAGATGAGGACACACACTAGATATTTATGGTAATATGGTTTTTGATAAATACTATAGAGCACATACTGACCTGGGATGAGAATGGCTGTACCAAGCTCTTTAAAAAACCCCACACAAACCAAAGCCCTTCCTCATTAAAACATGTTATGGACCCATGAGACATTTACAGATTGCCCAGGGCTACAGAGAAGACCCATCTGGCAAACCTGAAAGTCAGACCCCCCAGCTGTAGTTCTGCAGTTCAGAACTGCTGAAGTTCCCAGAACTTCAACAAAACACCCCAGTTAAGAGGCAAACCACGCTGATGGATCATCCTGGCCATGCCAGTGTTCCACTTCACGTAAAGTCCTCTTGCAAGAGCAGCTAATTTGCCCTCCAAGCCCGTGTACCAGGTGATTACAACCTCTCTCTCTAATCTGCCAATCCCAAAGGTGTGCAAGCAAGGATTTGTTGTTTGCTCTGCCCCAAGGCTCACTGAACTATGTGGAGTACTATTGTTTTCAGCAGCAGGACTGTAACATTGAGTCATCAAGCACATGCCTTTATAGTTAAATTTAAATATCTTTAAAATGCAGCATCATGGTTCACACAGGTATCTTGCAGCCACTGATGTCTGTGCCAGGTACAAGACTTTGCAACAGTCTTCTTGAAAACACAGTTCAGGAGAAACTCCCTTAAAAACAGACCATTCAACAAGTAACACAAAAGGGAAATACAAATTATCCCTGGTTCTGAGAACTTGTACAGGTCAAAACTACACATCTATGTGCTTGGACTGAGAAGTGACCTGAGGCCTAAGACACAACAGCACTTAACCCATGTTCAGTCTGTCTGGTTTGAGGAGAAGTAGGTAACACAAGACAACCCAACCCTGGCCAAACACATTCAAAGTAAGGTCAGCTCTTCAAGAGCAAAACCAACCACAGCTTAGGCTGACAAAAATTCAGAGTATTTACCTCTTGAAGTGCTAGGCTACAGAAAATTACTGCCAGTGTTTGTATCTGCATCTCCTACGAACTCAGGTGACATTCCCCCCACCCCCAAAACAGAGGGGCAGTATGTTCTTCTAGGTCATGATCCTGAAAAAACCCCACATTTACAAAAACCAGGGAAAAAGCTTACAACTCTCATTGAGAATAGCACTGATTATATCTCCAGAGCAAAATATGCCCTTTCAAGACCAGTTTTAACCATTACAGCTCCTGTCACAGAGTCACAAGGTACATCCAGTTAAGCACCGTGACAGTAAGAAAGGGCAATCAACTTTTAATTACTCCAAGTACTTCACAAGAACACTCTGGGAACTGCAAAAAGGGCTGCTAGCAAGAACTCAGGACACCTCAGGAGCTGTCTTGTTCTTCCTGTCATGCTTAGGGACTCCATTTCTCCTGGCAGTAATCACAGCTTTGCAAACCTCCAGGTAACACTAAGATGACGTGGAAGTTACAGCTGATGACCACCACCACCACCACCCTGGCACGGGAGCTTGTTGAGATGCCTGCAGCTGATGTGCTCCAGGACAAGTTCCAAAGCACACACAATCCAAAGGAGATGAGTTTTCTCTGGGACACACGAGCGATGTATTAAAGTGAGATGTGTCTGTTAGCAGCATCAATATCAAAGGAAAAGAGCAGCCACCACAAATAAATGGTTATCAGCAGAGACCAATTCTTTTCTTTCCTCTCATCCAAGACGATACAATCCACACAGGAACACACAGAATATCAGAGTAACATCAAAGGATGTTACTGTCCTGGGAAAATGGGGCCATTCATGCCTGTTTTAGTATAGGAGAGGCAAATTCATCCTCAGCTGAGAGCACTGGTCCAGTGCCCCTGTAGTCAGGGATGAGAAAATCGAGCCATAAAGCTCCCGGTCCCAAGGCTGAAGCCAAGTCCTAGTGTTACAACATTTCCCTTAAATAATCTCTGCTGTTCAGGTTATAAAATAATTCAAATACATTTTAAAAAATTCCAGCTCAGAAGCATAAAAACCAGCCAAAGCAATGCTGCCACACAGCTTTAAAATGAGGGGAGGGGGAGGAAGCTCTCTTGCCTTTTGCATGGAAGGCCTCACTCTCCACAGCGCCAGATCACACACAGACAGACAAAAATAAAAGCACTACTTAGACACACTTGTTTTCTGTTGCACTTACACAGAGCATGGTCCTTTCCCAGAAGTCTCAGACTTTTGTAATTCTACATTTCCCCCACCCAGCTACTTTATTTGTACAGCAAGACAGCAAAAGGAAGAGAACAGGACTGTGTATTCGATACACAACACGATCAGGTTAACAGCCACAGTGAGGAATATTTAAATAAAAGGGTTTGATGCTCTTGAAGGTTTGCAGCAACCACATCCAAACACAGATCAGTGCAAGAGAGGACAACAGTGAAAGCTGCCAGTTATGTGCAAAGCAGGGCATAAATCAGATTTACTGACCTTACATCTTTAGGATTTCATCGACCGTCTCGAGCTAACATGTCTAGCACTTCAACACACACCTAGAACCCTTATTTTCTATACATTTCAACAAGGATTGCCAACAAGATTCCTTGCACGACACGTTTAACACATGGAATTTCACAACCATCATATATACCAGTTTAATATTATGTTAATATAACATACAATATACGAGCAACTAAGGAAAAATACATATTATTTTTTTGTTTGTTTTAAATAAAGCTCCATACCAGCGAGGCATGGATTTTATAGCCATGTCAAACTATGCCATCTCTTGAATACCATATTCTGGCCAAGTCTGAA